CTGTGGTGGACTCGGAGCTGGGTTGGTGTGGATTCTCCCCTTCCTCCACCCTCCTGAGCCATCCCAGAGCTCCCCATCCCCTGCACCCACACCTGACCCTCGGGATTGCTCCGGGAATCTTCCCCCCGTGTTTTGGGCCGCGGGTGCCAACCCACTCCCCTCCATCCCACCTCTCCCTCCCTCCCTCTGCCCTTCTCCCGCAGGTACCACAACGTGGGGATCCTGGTGCTGTTCCTGCACGACATCAGCGACGTGCAGCTCGAGTTCACCAAGCTCAACGTGTACTTCAAGCACCGGGGGGGGGTCTATCACCGCCTCAACGACGTCATCTCCAACGTGGGCTGCCTCACCTTCAGCGTCAGCTGGTGGGTTTGGACCCCCCTGATCCCGCTCCCGACCCTCCTGCCCGGTTTTTGTGACCCCCCCTAACACCCCTCGGCGCCCTGGGATCCGTGGGATGGGAACGAGCCCTTTTTCAAAGTCGGTTTGGGGAGAGGTTCCCGCAGAGCTCGACCCCATGCTGGGCTTGGAATCCTTCTGTAGTCACTTGGCTGGGCTTGGAATCCCTCTGTAGTCACTCTGGCGTCTGTCACCACTGAAGTGCCTGTGAAATTGTGCTCCCAGCGCGACAAATGACCCCGGGGGGAGGAGGAGCCGTTCCCGTTTTTCCCCGGGTTCAGCAGCAAGGAGCTGGTTTTTTTTTTTTTCCAGAAGGAAAAGGGAGGCAGAGCTGTCCCAGATTCCAGCCCTCGCTGCTGCTCCTCCTGGGGCGAGGCAGGAGGGAAACAAAGGGATGGAGGATGGGGATGAGTGACTTGCAGGTTGTCACTCCTCGTCCTCCCCCTCCCTGGGCTTCTCCAAAAAGCAGGGGGGCAACAAGAGGCTCAGTTTGAGGGATAAACTGGGGGTGCACAGGATGAGGAAAAGCTTCCAGCTGTTCCCCACCCAGTTGTGACAATCTGCAGTGTGGACCTGCCCCTGCCCTGAGCCCTGCATGCCCACAGGAACGATGTTCTCCCTTTCCCTGGCTCTGCTGAAGCCCTGCCTGGAGCCAGACCCCTCCCAAAGCAGATGCCAGGAGCAGGAGGCCGTGCTGGGGAAGCTGGGCTGGGTCTCTGCTCTCCTGGGGGGCCACTGACCCCATAACCCCCCCTGCTCCTCTGCCCTGGCAGGTTCTGGTTCCGTCTCTACTGGTTCCCCCTCAAGGTCCTCTATGCCACCTGCTACTCCAGCCTCCAGTCAGTCCCAAATATCCCCTTCTACTTCTTCTTCAACGCTCTGCTCCTCATCCTCACCCTGATGAACATCTACTGGTTCCTGGTGAGTGGGGGGATCTCGACCACCCCTGCCCTTGCTGCTCTCTCCCCGCTGCTCCTGCCCGGTGCCTGCTGCCTGTGCAGGGGCTGCAGGGCTGGAGGAGCCTTTGGAGGAGAGGAGGGAAGCCCCTGTCAGTGCCCTGGGGTGGCTCCTGTGCTGGAATTCCAAGGATCCCTGGGGAGGGAGCGACAACAGCGGCTGGGACAGGCTGGGATTTGATCAGGGTGTGAATGTCCTGGAACCCCCCCAAGCTGTGGGGAGGGGGTGGGAAGGGTGGATGTGGAGGGAATCACATCAGGCAGAGCAGGGGAGCACCTGATTCCATCATGCTGTGGGATGAAATCAGAGGAGGGAATGAAATCAGGAATCAGAGTCGCAGGAATTCCGCCATGGGTCTGAGCCGCGTCCAGGTGGGAATTGCCCTGCCCACGTGGGGTCTGGGGGGGTGGAACAGCTCCAAACCTTTGGGATCTGTGTCTGAGGGATCTGTGTCTCTCCCCCCATCCCAGTACATCGTCCTGTTCGTGGCCAAGGTGCTGATGGGGCAGATGCAGGAGGTGAACGACGTGCGCGAGTACGACGTGGAGGACACCGGGAAAAGCGCCAGGGCCCGGAAGAGAGAGGCTGGAATCCAACTGCCCAAGGCTCTGAAGGAAGGGTACGTGGGCAGGGGGTGGCACAGAGGGCCATGGGGTGGTTTGGGTTGAGAGAGAGGCTGGAATCCAGCTGCCCAAGGCTCTGAAGGAAGGGCACGTGGGCAGGGGGATGGCACACGGTGCCATGGGATGGTTTGGGTTGGAAGGAACGTGGAGATCATCCAGTGCCACCCCCTGCCACGGGCAGGGACAACTCCCACTATCCCAGGGTGCTCCAGCCTGGCCTTGGACACTCCCAGGGATGACACACACACCAAGCAACTGTGGGTGAGGGGAAGGGACACTGGTGACCTCCCTGGAGCTGCTGTCACAGGGTTCACCCCCGGGCTGGAAGATGGGGATAAAACGTTGCTGCAGGTGCCAGGAAGGATTTTAATCCACGCCTGGGCATCGTGGGGTGCCCACCCATCTCTGCCCCGTGAATCCTCACCCAGCCCTTCCACGTGGGACTGGCTCTGTGCTTGGGGCTGTGCTGGGGGATCCCCCAGAGCAGCTCTGGCCGAGTGGGGACAAACAGGACAATCCTGCTGGGACAGGGGTGGCCTCAGCAGCGAGGGGGGACGGCGGGTGTTGGGAGCAGACCCACCGAGCTCTGCTCTGCTCCCCCCCAGGCTGCACCTCAGGAACGGGCTCGTGAAGGACAAGAGGTTGTGAGGGCGGCGTGGCCGTGGCAGCTGCCAGGACCTGGGACCCACCAGGACCCTCCACTGGGAGCCAGCGAAGGAAAGGCACGAGGAGAACTTCATCCCTGACCCCCTTTCCCTCCCCTGCCCGGAGCCGGGGAACAGATGCCACTTGACAGGATCGGGCCCCTCCCGGGGGCTGTGACCAGGCTTCACCTGGTGCTGGGGGGCTCCCCTGTGGCCCCCCTTCAGTTGGGAGACTGGTGGCTTTTGCTGGTCCAGGTAGGATTTGGAGCTGGCTTTGGGTCCCCTGGTGTTCCTCCTGTTTCTCAGTCCCGCCGTGATTCCCCCGACTCTGCTGTTGGACCCCGAACCGGGGAGGGAAAAACCTCCTCTCCTGCCCTGGGAAGGGGAGCCCGAAGCCAGCCCTGCTCCAGCTGCCCAGCGAGGTGATGAAGGGCACCTCGAGGTGATGAAGGGCACCTCGGAGCCTTCCCCCTCGGGAGGGGTCACTGGCACGGGGCTGCCCACCCGTGTCTGGGGCACACGCGCTTCCCAGGAAAACCAGCCCTGGAGGGTTATTCCAGCCTCCTGTCCCACCAGGTGAGAGCCAGGAGAGACTTAATTCTCTTTAAAAGCCTGTGTAGGTCTCAAGAGTCGCTTCAAAACCCAGTCCCAGCCCCTGCTGGGGGGCCCTGGACCCTCCCCCAGCACTGCCCACTCGCTCCAGGGAAGAACAAAGAGTTCCTGCTCCCTGTGGTGGTTTTCCAGGCAGCCCCAGGCTGGGCTGGGGGTCCCTGACCTGGGAATTCCTGTGGGTTTTAGTCCCTCAGGCCGAGCTGTCCCATTGCTGCCCACCCCCAGCTCCCTGCTGGGGACGGGGCAGTGGATCCAAGGCATTAATTCCATGTTTTAGTTGCCGGGTTGGTTTTCCCGTGGCCAATCTGTCGTGTGGACTCGGCTCCGGGCTCGTGGTGTGAGCCAGGGGGGAAAAATTCCTGGCTGGGGCTGGTGGGAACTGTCCCAGGCTGTGGCAGGACCCGTCACCTCCTCACTCATCCAGGCAGTGTCCAAGGGGTGTCTCAGTGCCGGGGTTCCTCGTCTTCCAGCGGGATTTGTGGGAAATGAAGGAAGCTGCTGTCCCAGGACGGGCCGGAGCAGAGCTGGGGCAGGGCAGGGTGGGGGAAATGAGAGTCCCTGGTCACCACAGGGGGGGATAAACTCGATTTTACAGCGTTGGCTTTGAGCTGGTGGCCAGTTTTGGGGGAGGTGAGGTGGCAGCTCTGCTGTGAGGGCCAGGAAGGGACTGGGGGTGTGACGGGGGGGACACGGGAGGGACAGGGGCACCCCTCTGCCCAACTGGGGCAGGGACCCCCCGGGGCTGTGTGTCCTGAGGGCAGGGCCCCGTGTGAGGCAAGACTTGGGTGATTTGATGTGCTGGGAGTTGATGGCCTTGAGAGAGAAGCCTCGGGTGCTGTGATTGTGTCAAAAAGAGCTGATTTGGGGGGAGGGAGGAAGGAGAGACCCGGCTCTGTGTCCACCCCTGGATCCAGGGGGGGATGTCTGCGGCACGTGGGGCTTCCCAGGAGCTTTGTGTGGGAAGAGCAGCCAGCAGGGATGGTTTTGGTGTGGGAAGAGCAGCCCCTTCCCTGCCACCAGGGATGGTTTTGGTGTGGGAAGAGCAGCCCCTTCCCTGCCACCACGGACGCTGTTGTTGGCCCTCGATGGTGTGGAGATGGTGGGAGAGGCTGTGGGAGCAGCACCAAGGGGTTAAACAGGTCCCAGGGGGGAGCCTGGAGGGACTCACACCCTCTGCCCAATCCCGGGAATCCCTCTGTGCTAATTGAGCACTAAGCAGATCAAAGGCTCCAATCAGGGAATCAACACCCCCCTGGCCTCATCTCCGGGTCCCCAGCCCGGGCTGCCCTTTGTCTGGAGAAGGAGAGAGGGGCAATGTGGCTTCTCCCCAGCCTGGCCTGGGCTCTCCTGAGCCCCATCCTGGGGTCGGAGCTGAGCGTGCAGGAGAGTTTGTTGTTGAAATCCTTGGGCCTGAGCACCAAACCCAGCCCGAAAACCCCCGTCCCGGTGCCTCCCCTGCTCTGGAGGATCTTCCAGAAGAGAAAGATGCCTCCCCCGACGGACAAAGACCCCGTGGATGGCTGTAGGGTGGAGGAATTTAATGTCCCCGGGAACATCATCCGAGTCCTCGCTGACCAAGGTACAGACACGCTTTTGGAGCTTTTGGAGCTTTTGGAGGCCCCTCATTCTCTGGGGTGAGAGGCTTTGCCTC